ACCATGATGCTCATTATGATGATTTTGAACATAATTACCATATTAATCATAATAAATTATGGTTACCATGGCAACCATGATGATCATTATGATGATCTTGATCATAATTAGCATATTAATCATAATAAATTATGGTTGTCATGGCAACTACGATGATCATTATCATGATTTTGATCATAATTAGCATATTAATCATAATAAATGATGGTTGCTATGGCAACTATGATGTTGTTATGATGATCTAGGTCATAATTAGCATTTTTTATTAAATGATGGTTGCCATGGCAACTATGATGATATTTATGATGATCTTGATCATAATTAGCATATTAATCATAATAAATGATGGCTGCTATGGCAAAAAGGATGCTCATTATGATGATTTTGATCATAATTAGCACATTAATAATAATAAATGATGGTTGCCATTGCAACTATGATGATCATTATGATGATCTTGATCATAATTAGCATATTAATCATAATAAATTATGTTTGCCATGGCAACCATGATGATAAATACGATGATCTTGATCATAATTAGCATACTATTAAAATAATAAATGATGGTTGCCATGGCAACTATGATGCTCATTATCATGATTTTAATCATAATTAGCATATTAATCATAATAAATTATGGTTGCCATGGCAACTATGATGATCATTATGATGATCTTGATCATAATTAGCATATTGATCATAATAATTGATAGTTGCCATGGCAACCATGATGATTATTATGATGATTTTGACCATAATTAACATATTAATTATAATAAATGATGGTTGCAATGGCAACTATTATGATCATTATGATGATCTTGATCATAATTAGCATATTTATTCATAATAAATTATGGTTGCATGGCAACCATGATGCTCATTATGATGATTTTGATAATATATAGCATATTATTAAATAAATTATTGTTGCCATGGCAACCATGATGATCATTATGATGATTTGATCATAATTAGCATATTAATTATAATAAATGAATGTTGTCATGGCAGCTATGATGATCATTATGATGATATTGATCATAATTAGCATATTAATCATAATAAATTATGGTTGCCAAGGATACCATGATGCTTTATGATGATTTTAAACATAATTAGCATATTAATCATAATAAATGATGGTTACCATAGCAACCATGATGATCATTATGATGATCTTGATCATAATTAGCATATTAATCATTATAAATTATGGCTGTCATGGCAACTACGATGATCAATATCATGATTTTGATCATAATTAGCATATTAATCATAATAAATGATGGTTGCCATGGCAACTATGATGATCGTTATGATGATCTTGGTCATAATTAGCATATTTTTATTAAGTGATAGTTGCCATGGCAACCATGATGATCATTATGATCTTGATCATAATTAGCATATTAATCATAATAAATGATGGCTACTATGGCAACAAGGATGCTCATTATGATGATTTTTACCATAATTAGAATATTAATCATAAAAATTGATGGTTGCTATGGCAAATATGATGATCATTATGATGATTTTGATCATAATTTGTGTATTAATCATAATAAATGATGATTACCATAGCAAACATGATGATCATTATGATGATCATATTCATAATTAGCATATTTTTATTAAATGATAGTTGCTATGGCAACCATGATGATCAATATGATGATCTTGATCATAATTAGCATAATAACTATACTAAAAGATGGTTACCATGGCAACCAAGATGATCATTATGATGATCATGATCATAATAAGCATATTGCTCATAATAAATAATGGTTGCTCTGGCAACTATGATGATCATTATGATGATCTTGATCATAATTAGCATATTAATCATAATAAATGATAGTTGCCATGGCAACTATGATGATCATTATCATGATTTTGATCATAATTAGCATTCTAATCATAACAAATGATGGTTGCCATGGCAACCATGATGATCATTATGATGCTTTTTGATTATAATTAGCATAATAATCATAATAAATGATGGTTGCCATGGCAACTATGTAATTATGATGATTTTGATCATAATTAGCATATTAATCATAAATAATGATAGTTGCTATGGCAACCATGATGATCATTATGATGATCTTGATCATAATTAGCATATTATTCATGATAAATTATGGTTACAATGGCAACCATGATGATCCTTATGATGATCATAATTAGCATAATAATCATAATCAATTATGGTTACCATCGCCACTATGATGATCATTATGAAGATGATGATAATATTTAGCATATTATTAATGAATAATGGTTGCCCTTGCAACCATGATGATCATTATGAAGATCAGGATCATAATTAGCATATTAATCATAATAAATGATGGTTACCATGGCAACCATAATGATCATTATGATGATCATGACCATATAAGCATATTAATTATAATAAATTATAGTTGCTATGGCAAGCATGATGATCATTATGATGATCATGATCATAATTAGCATATTATTAAAAAATGATGGTTGTTATGGCAACCATGACGATCATTATGATGATCTTGATCATAATTAGATATTAATCATAATAAATGATGGTTACTATGAAAACCATCACGATCATGATGATGATCAGGGTCGTAATTAACTTAACAATCCCAATTAATATTGGTTTCCCTCGCAACAATGATGATCATTATGATGATCAGGATCATAATTAGCATATTAATCATAACAAATGATGGTTGCCAAATCAACTACGATGATCATTATGATGATCTTGATCATAATTAGCATATTAATCATAGTAAATGATGGTTGCCATGGCAACCATGATGATCATTATGATGCTTTTGATCATAATTAGCATATTAATCATAATAAATTATGTTTGCTATGGCAACCATGATGATCATTATGATGATTTTGATCATAATTAGCATATTAATCATAATAAATCATGGTTGCTATAGCAACCATGATGATCATTATGATGATTTTGATCATAATTAGCATATTAATCATAATAAATGATGGTTGCTATGGATACTTATGACCATTATGATGATCTTGATCAAATTAGCATATTAAGCATAAATGATGTTTGCCATGGCAACCATGATGATCATTATGATGATTTTGACCATAATTAGCATTTTGATCATAATAAATGATGTTTCCAATGGCAACTATGCTGATCATTATGTTGATCTTGATCATAATTATCATATTATTAAAAAAAAATGATAGTTGCCATGGCAACTATGATGCTCATTATCATGATTTTGATCATAATTAGCATAATAATCAAAATAAATGATGGTTGCCATGGCAACTATGATGATCATTATGATGATCTTGATCATAATTAGCATTTTAATCATAATAAATGATGGTTGCCATGGCAACCATGATGATCATTATGATGATTTTGACCATAATTAGCATATTAATTATAATAAATGATGGTTGCCATGGCAACTATGATGATCATTGTTATGATCTTAATTATAATTAGCATATTAATCATAATAAATTATGGTTGCATGGCAATCATGATGCTCATTATGATGATTTTGATCATAATTAGCATATTAATCATAATAAATGAATGTTGTCATGGCAGCTATGATGATCATTATGATGATCTTGATCATAATTAGCATATTAATCATAATAAATTATGGTTGCCATGGCAACCATGATGATAAATACGATGATCTTGATCATAATTAGCATTTTAATCATAATAAATGATGGCTGCTATGGCAAAAAGGATGCTCATTATGATGATTTTGATCATAATTAGAATATTAATCATAATAAATGATGGTTGCCATGGCAACTATGATGATCATTATGATGATTTTGATCATAATTAGCATATTAATCATAATAAATGATGGTTGCTATGGCAACTATGATGCTCATTATGATGATTTTGACCACAATTAGCATATTAATGATAATAAATTATGGTTGCATTTGCAACTATGATGATCATTATGATGATCTTGATCATAATTCTTAATCATAATAAATTATGGTTGCCATGGCAACCATGATGATAAATACGATGATCTTGATCATAATTAGCATACTATTAAAATAATAAATGATGGTTGCCATGGCAACTATGATGCTCATTATCATGATTTTGATCATAATTAGCATAATAATCATAATAAATTATGGTTGCCATGGCAACTATGATGATCATTATGATGATCTTGATCATAATTAGCATTTGAATCATAATAAATGATGGTTGCCATGGCAACCATGATGATCATTATGATGATTTTGACCATAATTAGCATATTAATCATAATAAATTATAGTTGCTATGGCAACCATGATGATCATTATGATGAACTTGATCATAATTGGTATATTATTAATAAATGATGGTTGTTATGGCAACCATGATGATCATTATGATGATCTTGATCATAATTAGATATTAATCATAAAAATGATGGTTCCTATGACAACCATGACGATCATGATGATGATCAGGATCATAATCAGCATAACAATCATAATAAATAATGGTTTCCCTTGCAGCCATGATGATCATTATGATGATCAGGATCATAATTAGCATATTACCCATAATAAATGATGGTTACCATTCCAACCACGATGATCATTATGATGATCACGCCGGGCTTGCAAGCTTGCAGATTACGTCATTTTGGCGTGCGCTTAATTCCCGATTAAAATTCCAAAATGGTCGGATCTTATCGGGAGTGTAAAAACGCGCGTGGGTGTATGGTTTTAACAAGTCTAAGGAGATTGGCACTGCATGCGTGAACGTGGACTTTGGAATCATAATCTGCGAGCTTCAAGGTTTCGAATGATGTGTTTGTTTGTATCGAAAGTTAAATAAACGAGGTTTTTACTGTTGATTTTGTGGAGTGTATTCTCGCCCATTTCGTTTGTCTAAATGTCGACGTCCATAGTTTATTCTCACAAAGCCCAGCAACAGCAGGTTAAACAATCAATTCAAAAACGCAGAATCCTTGGTAGGTATGTTTTCTTGTTTGTGAATAACCAAAGTTTTAATCACAGGCTGAATTTATGCCGTATTTTTGTTTTTAGTTAGCGTGTTATAGACTAGATAGATCAGTGGGCTGATGGGTCGCCATCAAAAACGTAAAAGGTCTGCGAAGGCTATTGCCAAGGATCATTTCCCTGTAGGCCAACTAGCAAAACGAAGAAAGGAGATTCGTACAGAATTTTTAGCCAGTTGCAATGTGCTTCAAGACGAAGAAAGAAAACTAAAAAACGTATCAGCGAAGGTAGAGCAGAATTAGGTTGATTATATATTAATTACTATCAGCTAAGTTATTGGTTTATTATGGTAGAATGTAAGTTTAGTACAGAAGAGAACTAGTTTAGTACAATCAATTTAGAAAACTATTCAGTAAAGATCTTTGTTATCAGTCTAATGACAAATGCATATTTCTTGGTAGTTAGGTAGAATTAGAAACAGACACCAAGAAATTGGATCAATTCTTAGTCAGTTTAAAGGACCAAGATACAGTACATGCCCAGGGCTGAGTGTGACTAAGCGAAAGGTGAAGAAAAGATTACAGCAGCCTTCAAAAGTAGTTGAATACAACTCTGAAAAACTTGATGGCATATCTGAACAAGCCGCCAGACGAAGGCGAAAAGAAACAATTCTCACCTGTCAAGGTACAGTACGTTATGTTATTTAGCTTATATATATATATATATATATATATATATATATATATATATATATATATATATATATATATATATATATATATAATATATATATATATATATATATATATATATATATATATATATATGTTTGTTAGGGACTTAGAGGTTGTTGATTCAGAGACGTTGACTAGTTTCTTTGGGATATTGCATGTTTATTTGAGATTTTTCTGTGGGTGCAAAAAGTCCAGGGGGGTGCAAGCAATGGGCTCATAATGCTTTGTGACAAACCTTGACCTTGGTCATGGGGCCCTGCAGAAATTGTGGGGATTTTTAATTAGATCAACCTTTAAAATCCTTCTATTTTCCTTTAGATTTTAAAGTATTGATTTAATTAACTGTTGAATAGCTCCTTTAGCTATGTTTTCAATTTGAAAAATTAAGCAATATCAGCCAAATTGCTCAATACTTTCTACAGTTATACATCATGGGAAGCATATATTTTATAAACAGCTACAATTGCACAAATTTCATAAGTTTCATTTAAACAATTAAAGTCTTTAAAGTCATATAATTTCCTTGTGAGGGGTGCAACAATGGCTAGATGGCTACATTGTATGCCATCTGTAGATGGCTACATTGTATGCTAGAGAAATCTGTAGATAGCTACATTGTATGCTAGGATCTCATCTGTTACTTTTTTATCTCACTTCTGCAAAGCATGAGTTAATTATTATTTGAATTTAATTAACAAGGTATCCATGGTTGATCTAATGAAAACAACTCACCCACTCTCGATGGAATGTGGTGCACTTTGGTTAATTAGGCCACCCCAGATAAGTTGAAAGCGTACTTTGCCAACTCCAATAAGACAAGCAAGAAGGTAATCGGATCTGTTGTAAAAAGCTATGTAACTTCATTTGAAGCATCCCAGGATAATATAACCAGAAGTGTAAAAGTACTTTACAGTAAAGGTTTATTAAGTAAAGAAAAATATAAGGCTGTGCGACTAAACATATCCATGGGGTCTAATAATAAGAGCAAAGGAAGAAAATCGTTTAAGATATGTCAAGATGTACGAATTCCCAAATTATTGCCATATGCCAAGTTAATTAAATATATCAACAGTGTAAATGTTGGGAATGTCAAACAACTGAATGATTTTTGTGATTCAAATGAGAAAGTTAATGGAGCTTATAGGGAATTACATGAGTTCTTGCCTATTTTAGCTGAGTTGTACATAGAGATTCATAAATTGTTAGGATGTAATTCGTACTTGATGAAATTTGGGTATGAGCATTACCATTTCCTTGTTTCGATCGGAGCTGACGGTGCTCCATTTGGCAAACATGATGAGGCAACGGCATGGCTTGTTTCCTTTCTGAATAGTGGGGATAGGATTACAAGCCAAAACGAAAACTTCTTGTTTGCTGGGGTTAACTGTGCTGAAGATCATGTTTGCATGAAGCGTTTTGCAAAAAAGATTGTAAGTGATGTTAAGGCTATTGAATCAAAGGAATTCTTTGTTGATGGGTATTTGGTCACATTTTCCTTTGAAATGGTCCCTGCCGACATGAAGTGGTTGGCTTCATTTAGTGGAGAGTTATGCAATGCTTCCTACTTCTTTTCTAGTTTTGCTAATGTCAACAGTGACAATAAGCGGACAGTAAATGGTACACTTGGTCCTGAGCCAGAAAATACCTGGCAACCATGGGCTTATGAGAGACGGTTAGAGGTAGCTAAGCTAGTGGCAAAAACAAAGGAGACGTTGAGTCACAAAAATCTTTCCAACTCAACTAGGCGCAACAAAGTCCTAAATACAATCAGAGATTTAGGCTCAAGGCAAGAATTTGAACCAGTTCTTGGTAGGCTGATTGATAAAGCTCATGCAGAGCCATTGCATAATTCAAACAATGCATGGCAGTACATGCATGGAAAGATCTTGCAGGAAGCTGTTGTGAAATCAAACATTCCCACATCATGCACTGATGTTTCAACTCTCTCACTTGATTCACCTTTTAAAAAGTTCCTCTTTGCCCTTAAAGATGATGTTAAGGCCTCCAGATTGTATAAAAAGATCTTAATCTGGTTCAAAAGTGGTAGGTCTAAAAAATTTGAGTATCGCTTCACTGGAAAGGATGCAAGGATGTTATCGCACAACTTCATGTACCTCATTCATTCATTAACCTTGCCAAATGATTCCAAGCAGTCTCAGCTTCGGTTAGCCACATTAGCATTTTGCTGCCTAAAGCTGCGTGATGCTGTCTCTTTGTTCTCTAGAATTGTTGTTGATAATGCAAGTGTCATTGGTGATTTGAAAAAATGTTGTTTGCAATTTTTTAATGCTGTTTCTTTGATGTTGGCAGATGTCAGTCCTACTATATGGACTATTGGTTATGCAATTCCTTGCATTTTGAATTGATATACAAGAAATACGGAGTTGGTCTTGGTATCAACAGCATGCAAGGGAGAGAAGCAAAGCATGTTTGCTTACAACAATATGCTCGGCATTCTAACCTTTAAGGGCGATGGGATAATGTGCTGAAGCATGATTACATCTCATCAATTTGGCTTAGGAAACTTGATCCATTTTATTTTGTATATCATAAGAACAAAGATAGCTATATACCCCAAAGGATCCATCAATCTGAATTCTGCTACTGTGGCTTCCAAAAGGCTGATACTGAACAACATAAGTGCATTTACTGCTCATCAGTAATGTTTAAGGCACTTGAAGTTTCAGCAACTGATGGTGAGCTGTGTTCTGAAATTTCCTTGGTTTTAGGCTTGTGAAGATTTCCTTACCTTTGGGCTTGTGGTAATCTTTTCGCTTTGGAGCTTGTAAAGATTTCTCGATCTTCAAAAAGCTTGTGTTAATTGTTTTAGCTTTAGGCTTGTGAGTAGATATGTTACAATGCAATTTTTTAGCTGTTTTTAATAAGGGTCATCGCTAGCTAAGGTTGGGCACGGGGAATTACAGTAGACAAGAATCTTTGCCAGAAAATCCTTGTTCCACAAACCTGTAAATTAACACTTGAAGGAAATAAAACATCCAGGAACATGCCTGCTGTACCTGCATTCTATTTTGTCACCAAAATTCATGCTCACACCCCTTACCCAACCTTCTCTGCGATGGTCCTGCTTAATTTACTGTGATGTTTTATGAATGTTTTATGAATTTTTCATGAATTTTAAGAAAATTATTTATTGAATTGATAAATTCAAAAGTGGTTACATTGTAAATTAAAAAGCTAATTTATGCCAATGTTACAGTATGTATGATGATCATATTTTCATAGTTTAAATAAAGATTAATAAAAACAATTAGTGTTTTGTACCTTTCTTTTTTACCCGTTGTTTTAAGATAAATTGTGTTTATGTATAGAGGTTTATGTAGTGGTATTGCAATGATTTGTACAACAGAAGCAGTTATTTGAAAATATTTGCCTCTTATGTTCTAGGCTACCCAAGGTGCACAATCATTTATGGGCTTCTAAGAAAAAACTGCATTGGCAGATATAAAAAAGGCTGCCACAATTAAATATATATTACAGTATTAATAAATTGAATTAACCCATATATGGCACGGAGTGACCCTTTGACAGGTAAAAATATGCCTGGCTTTACCCAGAGTAAAATATTAAAGTAGGATGAAATGCCACTCATTAAGTTAACTGGGTACATGGGCAGATATAAGCCAGCTAACCTCTGTCCCCTAGCTTGATACCTGGTATGTAAAATTGCTGGCATTGGACAGAGTAAAATACTGTACTAATTAGTAGTAGGGTGCAATATAAGTTAAATTTTGTCCTCATTACATTAGGGCATGCACTTGAGAAAACCAGTTACATAAATTCCAACTGGAATCATTTTGAGAAAAATATAATCACCTATAGAGTTGCATTGCACCCTGATGCACTCTACTTTAGTAATTTACTCTCTCTAACACCTGATGATTTTTCTTGTCAAGGGGAGAGTGCTGGTGCTTAACAGAAACATAAACAGGTTAATTTAATGTATTATATATACTGTGTATGTATATATTTATATATATGAAAGGCTAGAGAAGCTAAGAGACACAACAAAGAGGGACATGTTGTCAGAGAAACATTTATTAATCATCTGAATGTAAAGTATTCACATTCCTTGTAACAGACAGCCAAATCTTGTCCCGATAGCACACATACAAGTTATAAAAGAACTATCAAATATACTAAATGTGCTGTGGAATGCCATTAACATTCCAGCAACCATAAGAAAAGGTTATTTTTAAGATTTCTCTTTTGAGAGAGTACGAAAGTATGAGTGGCTTATCTGCACTCACAATTATTTTGCATTGTTGTCCCTCGCGTAATCGTTTTGTCTGGAGAAGATTGTGTTCCTTTAAGTGTTCGTTATTTTCGGTGTTGTATCCATTTGCCAACTGTATAAAGAGCTGCATGAGCTTTGCTTCATCACTAATTACAACTCGCACAGTGCATTTAGTTTCCGAACGTGAACTTTGACTATTTACCAATTGAATAAACTCATCCAATAAACCAAACATTTCCCTTGGCATATATCTTGTGAAACAAACTTTCCACGGACTTCTGTATACCGGAGTTGGCCTCATACGACGAACAAGCATTGAATTTATACGCACAATTTCCCTGGCCAGAATATTCATGGGCTTTACCGATACATATTGCAGCGCATTTGGTCGATCGAACATATAGGTTTTAATTACATCCCTAGCCGCTGCTAAAACACCGCTCCCTATCTTCCCAGCAAGTTCTTTATTGTTTGTTTTTTTCACGTAATCTTCCACAATTTCGTGCAACCGTACGAGAAGAGACGCCATGTTGATACTTTTGCTATTAGCCGCTGACGTGTGGAGCGGGCGCTTGAAGGCTGTCAAATGATCGAAATCACACGCTTGCTAGCCCGGCGTGATCTTTATCATAATTAGCATATTAATCATGATAAATTATGGTTGCCATGCCAACCATGATGATCATTATGATGCTTTTGATCATAATTAGCTTATTAATCGTAATAATTGATAGTTGCCATGGCAACGATGATGATCATTATGATGATTTTCATCATAATTAGCATATTAATCATAATAAATGATGGTTGCTATGGCAACTATGATGATCATTATGATGATCTTGATCATAATTAGCATATTAATCATAATAAATTATGGTTACAATGGAAACCATGATGATCCTTATGATGATCATGATCATAATTAGCATAATATTCATAATAAATTATGGATTCCATGGCAACTATGATGATCATTATCAAGATGATGATATATTTAGCATATTATTAATAAATAATGGTAGCCCTTGCAACCATGATGATCATTATGATGATCTTGATCATAATTAGCATATTAATCATAATAAATGATGGTTGCCATGGCAACCATGATGCTCATTATCATGATTTTAAACATAATTAGCATATTAATCATAATAAATTATGGTTGCTATGGCAACCATGATGATCATTATGATGATCTTGATCATAATTAGCATATTATTTATAATAAATGATGGTTGTCATGGCAACTATGATGATCATTATGATGATCTTGATCATAAATAGCATATTAATCATTATAAATTATGGTTACCATGGCAACAATGATGATCATTATGATGATCATGATCATAATTAGCATAATATTAATAAATGATGGTTGCCATAGCAACCATGATGCTCATTATGATGATTTTGATCATAATTAGCATATTAATCATAATAAATGATGGTTGCCATGGCAACTATGATGATCATTATTATGATTTTGATCATAATTAGCATATTAATAATATTAAATGATGGTTGCTATGGCAACCATAATGCTCATTATGATGATTTTGATCATAATTAGCATATTAATCGTAATAAATGATGGTTGCCATGGCAACTATGATGATCATTATGAGGATCTTGATCATAATTAGCATATTAATCATAATAAATGATGGTTGCTATGGCACCCATGATGCTCATTATGATGATTTTGATCATAATTAGCATATTAATCATAATAAATGATCGTTCCCATTGCAACTATGATGATCATAATGATGATTTTGATAATAATTAGTGTATTAATCAAAATAAATGATGATTACCATAGCAAACATGATGATCATTATGATGATCATATTCGTAATTAGCATATTATCAATAAATGATGGTTGCCATTGCAACCATGATGCTCATTATGATGATTTTGATCATAATTAGCATATTAATCATAAAAAATGGTGGTTACCATGGCAACCATGTTGATCATTATGATGATAATGACAATAATAAGCATATTAATCATAATAAATGATAGTTGCTATGGCAACCATGATGATCATTATGATGATTTTGATCATAATTAGCATATTAATCATAAAAATTGATGGTTGCTATGGCAAATATGATGATCATTATGATGATCTTGATCATAATTAGCATATTAATCATAGTAAATGATGGTTGCCATGGCAACCATGATGATCATTATGATGATTTTGACCATAATTAGCATAATAATCATAATAAATGATGGTTGCCATTACAACTATGATAATAATTATGATGATTTTGATCATAATTAGCATATTAATCATAAATAATGATAGTTGCTATGGCAACCATGATGATCATTATGATGATCTTGATCATAATTAGCATATTAATCATGATAAATTATGGTTACAATGGCAACCATGATTATCCTTATGATGATCATAATTAGCATAATAATCATAATCAATTATGGTTACCATGGCAACTATGATGATCATTATGAAGATGATGATAATATTTAGCATATTATTAATGAATAATGGTTGCCCTTGCAACCATGATGATCATTATGAAGATCATGACCATAATAAGCATATTAATCATAATAAATTATAGTTGCTATGGCAAGCATGATGATCATTATGATGATCATGATCATAATTAGCATATTAATAAAAAATGATGGTTGTTATGGCAACCATGACGATCATTATGATGATCTTGATCATAATTAGATATTAATCATAATAAATGATGGTTACTATGAAAACCATCACGATCATGATGATGATCAGGATCGTAATTAGCATAACAATCCTAATAAATATTGGTTTCCCTTGCAACAATGATGATCATTATGATGATCAGGATCATAATTAGCGTATTAATCATAACAAATGATGGTTGCCAAGTCAACTATGATGATCATTATGATGATCTTGATCATAATTAGCATATTAATCATAGTAAATCATGGTTGCCATGGCAACCATGATGATCATTATGATGCTTTTGATCATAATTAGCATATTAATCATAATAAATTATGTTTGCCATGGCAACCATCAGGATCATTATGATGATTTTGATCATATTTAGCATATTAATCATAAT